GTTAACCACTCTTTTGTAAACAAAAAAAAAACAAGCGCATTTATTTTTCGTCAGCATATTGAATGCAAGTAATGTAACGTCTGAACAATAGTATTTCCATAGCCTAAGAATTTTTGCTAAACACTATTTTCAGAAAAGAAAGGTGAAAGCGCCCGTTGTTCAAGTATATTAAATAAAATGTGCCAAAACAGTTACCGTGTTTACAGGAATGAGACACTCGTAATAAACACTTTTAAAAAGTGGGCAAGCGCATGCACATGATGCATTAGATGACTGAAAAGAAGTCATGTTTGTTTCAAATCTATCTGTAGCTTTTGTTAGGCTTAGGTAAAAGCCAAAATCAGCAGTCGTTTTATTAATGTAGGTGATTTTTTTTAAATCTGTACGTCTACAGAGCTGGTTCAGACGTTTTCAGTGTTTACTATCAAGTTACGTGACCTTCTTTTGCTGCAATTACAATAATTAATATCATCTAGTAACTAAAGCTTTTGTATTTAAAAGCAATATAAGGACAAGGTTTAAATCGTGATTATCTTATTGTATTTATTCTAGTTATTGTAATCGTTGCAAATAGGCTTATCTCTACGTTAACCCATTTTGTATTTGCATAATCCTAAGGCTAATGCAGAAAATTCGTAAAATCTTTGGATGCATGAACAGCTCTAGTCATGCATAGTTACGCTTAAATTTTCTTTGTTTGTGTATGTTAGTCATGAATTTCTTCGTCATCTATACATAAAGTTCCATAATTTTTATTTTTTTCGTTTATTATTCATCATTTAGCCCTAAAATTACTATCTCTACTTTATTTTATTTTGGATTTTGTAATGTTTTCATCATTATATCATGGCAGATTATTAGCCAGCATAACTTTTGAAATAAGTTAGATAAGGAGTTTAGATCATTTGAGCTCGTAAGTTATGATATTGGAATTTGGTGGAAATCTTGGGAAACTAGGTTTAAAAAATTTCGGTTATTATTAGGGATATGCTGGGGTGAGCCTAAAATGTAGTCAGTAAAATAGAATTAACGTTTTATTTTTTTAAATCTAAGTAAACCATTAATATAATTTATTTATCAATCAATATTTTAGCAGGTGTTAACAGACTCTGAAATCGAGGGTACAAAGTTCGTGTCCCGTTGCCACAAAATCGTGTTCCACAATTTTAATTGCTACACGAATGGTTTGGTTTGTTTTGAATTTCGTGCAAAGCTACACGAGGGCTATCTGCGCTAGACGTCCCTAATTTAGCAGTGAAAGACTAGAGGGGAAGGCAGCTAGTCATCACCACCCACCGCCAACTCTTGGGCTATTGTCACTTATAACGCCCCCACGGCTGAAAGGACAAGCATGCTTGGTGGGATTCGAACTCGCGACCCTCAGATTGCGAACCAACCGCCCTAACCAGCTACAAGAGTGACCGTTAAATTTTAATGTTCCAAGTTCTAAGCGACCAAACTAACTTATGCTTCTCCCCATTTGTCTCTAGGTGAATGTCAGGGTCACTTCCGGTTCTCTGTTTAAACATATATATATATATATATATGTATATATATAAACCCTGTTACAAAACATTTCATTCGTTCCCCCTCAGCAAAATTTTCTAACTAAAATTGGATCTATAGATCACAGCCATGAAAAGGACCGCGTCTTAGTATCCTTAAACCAAAAAAATTTGATTTTGTTAAATAATAATTAATGATGTCTAAATCAATTTATTTGACTTATTTAACAATAAATTAAGATGATTAAGAGAATTACGAAACTATTATTTTCTTAACTCGTTTATACTAGTAATTCGATACTTTCGGAACAGCCTTGGTCATTGGTCCTCGTTCCTGTATTCAACAATCCCAAGATGTTGCAGTTATCAACAAGAAGCTCGAAACTCGCCTTCCTTCGTATTATTTTCAGATCTCTCCAAACACTGCTTCCTCTGATGTCTTGAGAGTTAGTCTAGCATCAAATATCTGTGTTTCTAATTAAAAACTCCACTCCTGTTAGTCCAAAAATCCTTCATATTCATGTGACATGTAATCTTAATTCATGAAGTGGGGTGAAGAGAAACCGCAGTTTCTGATCGCCCCTGGTTTATCTTTCAGTCCCCTGCGGAGACTGAACGATATATCAACCTAAATAACTACCACGGATCAGTCTGTACCTGATGATGCCTTTACTGACGAATCCATAGTCGTGAATAAATAATGTATTTGTGAAACGTGCTCATACTTAAGGTTTAAATATCGAACAGATGACTGAATTTACGAAAATGTGTCACTTGGTGATAACATGCTTTACTGATACTATTACTTCTTTAAATATTACTTTAAATAAACAAATAAGTGTTAGCTAGTTGTAGGCACTTTCGTTTTCGTAGATAATTATACTTATATAAACTATACATTTTATTCTTCTTTGGCTGAGCGTAGTCTTGTTGTTAGCGTACCAAGCTGAACACCCTGCACAATTTTATCTGTGAAAGAGTTATAACTGTAACAGTAGGCGGAAGGTGCTACTGTCTGACGTACCTCTCTGTGATTTAGTGGTTTTAAATTAAGGATAGCTATTCCTCAACCTTGATACCTATAGCCTGGCTATTTAGTTTGTTTGTTTGTAATTAACCACAAAGCTACACAATGGGCTATCTGTGCTCTGCCCACCACGGGTATCGAAACCCGGTTTCTAGCGTTGTAAATCCGCAAACATACCGCTGTGCCACTGGGGGGGGGCGTTGGATAAGTTACAATTCAAGAAGAAAAAAAACAATTACTTAATATTTTCGTAGAAAAGGTAATATCCTTCTTGCTGTCCCCCGGTGGTAGGGCGGTATGTTTACGGACTTAAAACGCTAAAAGCCAGGGTTATATTTTTCATGGTGGATACAGCAAATAGTTCAATGTGGCTTTGCGTTAAAACGAACCAACATTCTATCTTTAATGTAAACGAGCAAGAAACAAGTTAAGAAAAAGCAGAATGCTAACAAAAAATACAACGAACGTTGTTATGTACTTCATTTCTACATTTTATCAAGAGTCTTTATGGCCTTAAAGCTAAAGTGTGGATTAATAAATATTTCCAAACTTTGTTGAAGAAAACGTACTGAATATGGAGTAAAGATTTCCCAGACTGTTGAGTGATGCATATTAAATATGGAGCAAAGGATTTCCATGATTGTTGATAGTTACATATTGGATATAGAGTAAAGATTTCTCATGATTGTTGATTGTTACATATCAAATATAGAGTAAAGATTTATTATTATTGTTTATTGTTACGTGTTAAATATAGAGTAAAAATTTCTCATGATTGTTGGTTGTTACATATCAAATATAGAGTAAAGATTTATTATTATTGTTTATTGTTACGTGTTAAATATAGAGTAAAAATTTCTCATGATTGTTGATTGTTACATATCAAATATAGAGTAAAGATTTATTATTATTGTTTATTGTTACGTGTTAAATATAGAGTAAAAATTTCTCATGATTGTTGATTGTTACATATCAAATATAGAGTAAAGATTTATTATTATTGTTTATTGTTACG